TGGATCTGCCACTGGGACATAGTGAAATATTACCTGTGACGCGCGCTACAGCAGAAAGGCAGAGGGAGATTAGAGAGGACAATGCGTGGCTGAAGTCTTGGTGCAGGAAAGAGGGTTTTGGGTTTTTAGAGCACTGGGCCAATTTTGTGCTTGGGTACAACCTGTATAGTCGTGATGGATAGCACCTAAACGGAAGAGGGTCTGCTGTGCTGGGGGATAGGATGGCTAAAAGGTTGGAGGAGATTTTACTCTTGTAGTAGGGGGGAGGGTCAAAGAAATCTAGGAAATGGAGATAGGATAGAAAGGAGATGGGCTTTAGCTCAGTATAATGGGGGTGGAGATTGGGGAGGGGAAAGCTCAGAACAGAGGCGGTATGCAATATTGATGAAAATTCACAAAAAGTACAAATGACTCATGATAATATTAAATGTATGCTTACTAATGCAAGGAGCCTATATAACAAAATGGGGGAACTAGAGGCAATAGCATATACAAAACAATATGATATAATACCAGTAGGCATAACAGAAACATGAGACACAAGACTGGGCAGTTAACTTAAATGGGTACATGTTATTTGGGAAGGATAGGAACAACAAGAAGGGTGGTGGGATATGTTTGTATGTCAACCATGAGTTAAAGTCAAATCTTAGGCACTTGAAGTATGACGAGTAAAATGTGGAAGCTTTATGGGTAGATATCTGCTTGGGGCAAACGAAGGGAAATCAATTATTGGTTGGGATTTGTTATAAACCATCTAATGTGAATATTAATGAGGAAGAACAGCTGTTAGAGCAAACTGGGAAAGCTGCACATCGGGGTAACACTAAATTATTGGAGATTTTAATTACCCGGACATAAATTGGGATAGAGTGACTAGTATTTCAGCAAGGGGAATCAGATTTTTGAATGTGTTAAATGACACCTTCATGTCATAACTGGTACAAGCACCAACTAGAAAAGATATTTGTCTAGATCTCATTATAACAAACAATGTTGATTGTTTGGCCAACATTCAAGTAGGGGAGCATTTGAGAAATAGTGTCACAACATGGTAATTTTTTAAATAAACTCAAAAATACATATTAAAAAAAAATGAATAAGATTAGGGCAGCTCTACAACATATTGACTGGCATAAACTCCTTGAAAAAAACACTGAGGATAAATGGAAACTATTCAAACAAATATTAGAAAGGTACATTTCTCAGTATGTACCATTGGGTAATAAATATAAAAGAAACAAATTGAAACCAATGTGGCTTAGTAGAGAAGTAAAACAAGAGATTAAAAATAAGAAAAGGGCATTTAAAGCATTTAAATTGGACAAATCAGAGGCATCCTATATAAGATATAAGGAAGCCAATAATGCTTGCAAAAAGGCAATTAAAGTGGCTAAACTAGAAAATGAGAAATTGATATCCAGAGAATGCAAAACCAACCCCAAATTTATTTTCAAGTGCATCAACTGTAAAAAAACAACAAATTCAAGTGTTGGTACACTGGAAATAGAAAGGGGTCTGTTAGCTAATAAAGACCAGGAAAAGGCAGACATTTTAATTAACAATTTTTCTTCAGTATATATTAATGAG